ATCTATGAAAAGTTCGTGTGTGACATAAAACATTGTAGATAAGTTATTTAATTATAATTAGTGTAAGTAGCTTCGCAGATAAAGGAAGAGTATATATAAAAGAAGGGTAGCATTTTGCATTAAGGGGGTATTCTAGTGTAGAAATACAAAAAAATCGTTTTTTTTTTGTTATTAACTTCCCGTAGGGCAAGTTATAGTAATCGCAAAAAATCGAAAATGAAAATTTTTATATAACTTTACGTTTCAGAGGTCTCTGAACATTTTGGCATACCTAAGAAACAATGGATGTATGTGTGTGTGTCAGTGTGTGCGGGTGTTGTGTGTGCGGATACAAATTTTCGTCGACGATTTCGGGAACACCGATCAACCGATTTAAATAATTCAAAAAACATTCTATTCGTACTGATATGGATACGTGCTGATTAGTTTTTGGCAGGGGCAGGTCTAGCCGTTCCGAAGATACGGGGCAAAAAGTGCCAAAACGGTAACACGGTTTTTAAGAGAACGCGCCTGGTTTTAAAAATTCAAAAAACATTTTGCTTGTATTAACAAGATGAAGAACTGATCAAATTTTCATGAAGGCAGGTCTCGCGGTTTCGGAGATCCAGTAAAAAAATAAAAAAAAATGCCATTTGGCGGTCAAAAATGATCATTAGACATATGCACATCAATTTATTAGATATTTTATAGAGATTTTAATAATAAGTATGAATTTTGATTTTAATAATAAGTACATTTTTATGGGTTTCGTACCAATGTTTATCCGTTAGACGGCGACGCAGCGCTTACGCGCTTCGATGTTTCGTCTCTATGCAGTAAAAGCAGTACGATTGCTTTGAAAAAAGTTCAGAATTTTCAATATATTTCAAAATAAATTTTTCTTCAAAAAGTCAAAAGAAAGTAATTTTTTATCAAAAATGTATAGTTTCTCAAAAATCTAATTTTTCAGAGTAATTTTTTTTTCAAAAATGTTAATCTTTTTTTTTAAAAAAAAAAAAATTGCTTCGGGAAGTTTCAGCAATTTGCCTTAAGGCACGATGCCACCATGCGCCCTACTAGTTTTCATATTTCAAGCTTATAAAAACGAGCTAAGCACACTACCTCGTAGGTGGCGTTTAAACGTTTTTTTTCAAAGCGATATATCTTTAAAACGGTGGCTCTGAGCAAAAAAAGTAATGATGCATTTTTTGTACATAATTATATGCTCGACAATATAGTTTCGGGTGATTTTGCAATAAAACTGACCATTTAGCTAAATATCGCAAGGGTCATTTTTTTACCTTTGACCTTATGCCATTCTTTTAGCTCGCATAGGATCGATGAGGACTTTTAAAATTACTTTTATTATTGTATTTTAATCTTGCCAAGTTACAGCCTATTATGAATTATAGTAACCTCCACCCTGATTTTAGATTTAAATTGACCGGGCTATTAACTGACCAAGAATATATGTACGAGAGGATTTTTAAAATTAGAAATTATTATCGCGGAGATACATCTATTTGCCCTTCCTAATTTCCTCTGTTTCCTTCTCTTTGCGAAACTTTAAACGCGTTTTTCTCTAAACTCTCTTTTTCAATCCGATGTACACGATTTCTCGATTTCTACTGGGCCGATTAACTTTTGAAAGTTTCAGAGAATCTTCTTCATAGACTTCACTGTAGTATATACTAGCCTCCTCCACGAATTTCAATTTTTACTATCTAAACGAAAAATCCAGAAACTCAAAAAAGCGTTAAGAATTTTTTTTCAAACAGTCGCTATTTTGCCAAAAATTTTTTTGAACCTAATCCTAGTATTGGGTCAAGTAGTAGTAAGTTCGTTTCGTTTATTTAGTGAAAATCAAAGATTTTTTATAGGGTGAAAATATATTTATCCAAATTAAATATGTATAGTAGTATATGTATTAAATAGTATATTATTTATCAACAAAGTTTCGCTATTTTTCTAGTGGATCCATGATGCCACCGGTGAAGAACCTCTGTGGTTTCTAGTTGAAAAACTGAACCAAGCGCTTTTTTCGAAATCAGATTAATTCCATTAAGATAGTTTTGCAGAGATCGGAAATAGTCGGAGGGTGCTATGTCTGGAGTACACGGTGGATGCATAAAAATTTGTCAACTAAGCTTTCGCAAATTTTGGCAGGTGATCAAATAAGTGTATGGTCGGGCTTTGTCATAATGGAAGACAATATCTTCAATTAAGGACGCTTTCTTTCAATTGTCTGGCTCAATCTTTCTATTTATTTACAGTTGGATTCATAATTAATGGTCTGACCAACTGGTCAAGATCAAGATCACGATTGACAATTACCTTCTAGTCCCACCACAAAGACAGCATCACCTTTCTTAGTATCATTCCTGACTTGTAAACGTTTGTCGTCGCTCATCTTCACTGATCTATGATTTATTTCGACTCCGATTGTCGTATATTATCTAGATAAAAAGTAGCTACATTTTCTTACCAGTTATTAAATGTTTCAGAAATGGTTCGATTTCAATGCATTTCAGCAGCCGTTGATTCGGTCTAAGTATCGCAGACGTTGATTCGGTCTAAGTTCTTCGCGTCCAAAATTTTTTTTAATTTGGAAATTTGCTTTATTTGACCTAAATACCTGCATTGATTTTCACATAAAGATACAATTTGTATACACCTATTCTGGGAATATCATACTATCAATTTGTTTCAATTAATTTATATAAGTTTGAAAAGAGCTATTAAAAACATACTGCCATTACTGCCATTACTGCATCTTCGCGTCCAACTCATGAAGATCCATACATTGAGCTTCCTTTTGTACTTAGCTTTATATAATTGGTTCAAAATAATTTTCTGATCAATGGCTAGTACCCTCCTAATATCGACAAAGCTGATTTACTTATCTTGCTATAATTTTTTAAGAATTTTATCAACTTTTTCAGTGATTCGTCGAGCAATAATTTTTTACTACATTGACTAGATTCAGGAGTAAAAACTATGATTCTGCTTGAAGGTAATAATCCCGCATTATTAATGTTATAAGTCTAACTTTTCGATAAGCCTTCCTTTATTTTATAAATAGCATGTGATTATAATAAAATATATTACATTGATGATAACAAAAATTGCACATATATATATTTATTATTGCTAAATATCTATTTTATAAACCTTCTTAAATAAATTACCTGAGAAAAAAAACAATATAACCAAAATTATTTTTGCAGAAACAATTATCTGTACAACTGGGCAAGAGATTCACATATAATATATAGCACCTATGGCACATACAGCTTTTCTTATTATTTAGTGACATTTAATATATACTATATCAAATATACAAATGTAAACTTGTCAATGTTATTTTATCATGTAATAAATATAAATTAAAATATACATATAAATTTACAATAATTACATAAAACTAACTTACTTAAAATTAAAATTTTCGAAAATATGTACAATCAAATTTAAAATCTAAATCAGGAATAAATAGAATTGCCCTTGCTCAAGAATTGCAAACATGAAAATTAGATATAATAATAAAACACTAAAATTGATTTTGATAAATAATGATTATAATAAAGGTATGAAAACGGTCGTTTGAGCAATTTTATGTAATATTACCATTACAATTATGTAATTACGCTTAACATGGCTAACCAATTTATAGAATAAATAAATCTTTCTTTTCTATATTCATTTAGATAAAATCAGAAAGTCAATAGCCTAATTCCTAGCTTCACTGATTGATTACACAATTAGAAACAACTGAATCGTACCGATTATTTTTACAAGTTTTTAATTAAAGTGACATTTGGATTATATGTTAAAATCTTATATTTTCAATAACATCACATATTTATAGCATCATGCATCAATATTCTTTGCATAATTTATTTTATAATGAGTGCCAAAGCTCACATATTTTTAATTAGCGTTTTGAAAGACATTTTTATTAAATATATTTTATTTAATATCTGTTATATATATTTATTTATTTAGCATTATCTTAACTTGCACTATATGAGTAAAAGTGAATGATAATAATCAATCATTAAAAAAATGAGTTGTATAAAAATCAGTAATTTAATTAATTTATGCCAAAAAACTTTATAACATTTGCTGTAAATAATTACTTGTATTTTTGTATTTTGTTTATAATACAAATTATTATTAAAAATTATTATTTTGAGTAGACTATAATTATTAACCATTCAAATTATTTTTGTATTTCGAACTTTGCTAAACTGTGCAAGTAGTCTAATTCAATACATGCACAAGAACGGATAATCAAAATACGCAAATTGTTACTGTTGCAACTCATTTTTTCATTCCTTGATTAATTTCAAAGAAATATGTATAAATTGAAAAATAAAAGATAATCGCATTAAAATATCGTCGCAATATCGAAAATTTGCCTACTTTTCATAATAAATAATACACAATGCACCATACATTATTTATCAGAAAAATATTTTCTTTGTAATAGAATTACGAAATAGAACATACTTGATGCGAATAAATGCATCTCACACATACCAGATATAAATTACGACTGCAAATAACTTATAAATAAAATTTGAGAAAAACTACTTAAATATTTGTACATATATAACTTAATTAAAAATAACACAGCAAAGCAGTCCTTATCAAACTTTTGACTAAGGAATATTAAAGCTAATTGTAATATTTATGATGAAAACATTCTGACGCCAAAATTATTTAATATTTAAATTTTTATTCTTCTTATGTGATGTGTTTAATTGCATAGATAAGTAGATATTTTTTATATAGAATCTTCTTTGTACTCATGTTAATTATATTCTCAGAAAAAATATATTTGAATAAATTGATAAGTAAAATTTTTGAATAAGTATGCTGAACATAAGCTGCCAAAAATGCATTATTTTAAAAATGTGATGATGGTCATAAAATATTACATTAATCCTAAGTTTTAAAACTTGTTTTGTTCAAAACTTTAAAACGTTTTTCTATAACTTATATTATTTAGCGGCTTGATAGCAAAATTTATGTTGGACAAAGAACCTTCAGAATGTAATCTGTGAGCAGGGTGGGTACGGTAGGGCTGTCTTCATTGATGGCTTTCAAAACTGAGAAGAAATAATATTAAAAATATTATCAATCAAAATTTTAATGACTGAATATCAATAATTTGACGAGTAATTTCAATCTATAATTACACAGGTCCACGAAAGAAGTTGTCTGTATTGGATGCGCAACATATGTTTTCCAATGTAGTTTTTACCGCTGAACACGAATTCGAAGTTAAAATTGGGGGTCAAACTACAAAAAATTGAGAAAAATGACAAAAACGGCAGAGGTCCAATCTAGTAATTGTTCAGCATGATATTTTATGCTGAACCTTGAATGAAACCTTATATTTTATGTAATTTCTTGGTCCTTAGTACCTCAAATGACTATTAAGTTTTACTTAAATGAACTATTGAGTTTTTTTGTATAATACAGCAGTAATTAACAAGAACATTTTCAAATATTCAATTGCAAATTTGCCAAAAGCATTATGTAGTAAATAAGTGCAAATTACTGCTGAATTATACAAAATAAACTCAATAAATTACGTAAGTGAAATTAAATAGCAACTTAAGGTAAAACGAGACAGAAATCGAAAGAAAATAAGATTTTAATCATCATGCAGAAAATCACTCGATCAAAGAATCTGTCGTTTTTTTTTCAATTTTTTTTATTATAAAACATATGCTGTACACCTACTGCAGACAACATTTTTGGACCTGTGTAATTAAAGTTAAGGCTTGACATTAAAATCGTAATAAAATTACTCATTGTCAGAAAATACTTTAGAGTTAGCATAACAAATATAACAATATTTACATATGCATTTTTATAAGCATATATAAATTTTATTTTATTTGTTCTTATTATTTCTAAATATTCTCAATAAACTTGCATTAAACTTTAAAGTTTCTATCATTTGTTCCAAAGCGTTAATTAAATTCTTTGAATTTTGAAATAAATTTCAAAATAAACGCTCTGATCGTTAAAATTCATAGATAGAAACCATTAGTTTTATAATAGTTAACGTTTATGGATAATAAAAATGAATAAAGTTAAGCATATTGATGCTTAACAAGTTACTCGTTTTAGATTCCTTCTACAGAAATACTTAATTTAGTAAATTATATGATCTTGAAACCGAGTTCAACTCCTACCGAGAAGTAAAGGGTTTGGTCATGTTTCCATATAGAATTGGCCCCATCCTGGTATTTAAATGATTTTGATACCATTTCATAGATTTTTTCGAAAAAATTCGGTATACCAATTTTGAATTCAGTAGCTCATCAATTGGCCGAGATATCATTGAAAATTTGCAAAAGTGGCCCCTTTTTTCAGAGTCACTTTTTGTCACAACTGTAAACAAGCACATAACTTTTGAATGTGTTCTACCACATGGACTAAAATTAAATTTGGGATAACATAAGAAAAATGAATAGCCTTTCTAACGATGCTAATTAAATATTAGTCCAAACAATCACACGACCCGAAAGTTTGAAATAGACACATTTTTTCACTTGTTTATAGAATAAAAAATAATTTTTCAACAATATTTGTTATTAATAATATAGTCCACAACATCCGTTATTTGTTTGTCGATATCTTTTACAGTTGTGACAAAAAGTGATTCTGAAAAAAGGGGCCTGTTACGGATGGGGGTTGGTTAGACCCCTTCGGAATAGCTAATTGAATTTGACTCAATAGCTATTCCGATGATTTTGTATAACTAAATATATTAAGGAAAAATACTCGTTCTCTGCTTGGCTGGCGGCCCAGTCGGATGGTGGCTTGAAGTCTGAAATTCTCAGATCGCTATAAGGAATGGATACTAAGGTAGAAATTGACTCCAGAAGCATAATAAGAAATACTGGCTGCGATTAATAACGTATTTATTCACACAAATAACATCGAACACTCGGAAAATTCAACAAAACTCATACGGAAAACAAGTGAAATGGCGTACGTGACAAGCGAGACCGCGAGACCCTGTTCACCCGCATGATTAGCGATTATATCCAAACTCTTTTTCATTCAGGATTGCCAGAGGCGACATTTAACGAGGTTCTGGCGCGAACAGGACCACTTTCGCATATTTTCAATGATATTTCGGCCAAATGACGGGCTAGGGAGTTGAAAATTAGTATATCGGATTTTTTCGCAAAAATCTATAAAATGGCATCAATCATTTAAATACCAAGATGAAGCCAATTCTGTATGGGAACACGATCAAACACTTTTAGACCAAATTGTGTATACAGCTAACCTTCACCCAATAACGGGGTGAGTATGTACCGTGGTGGCAATAAAAATAGCTAAAAATTTAAATAAGCGAATCGAAATAAGTAATCGATAAATTTGAAATGTACTTACTTTTGATGAGTACGCTGAGCGCGCGATTGTCAGGTGTGCCAGCTTCGGCGTGGTACGGAATCACGGTTGTCAAATATTTTGATTGCATAGAGGTCCTTTGCGTACCTGGAGCACCGCCGTTGTTACGTTTACGTTCTACATGATGCTGCCTCCTAAAAAATATAAGTTTTAATTAATAAATGTATCATTTTCAAAATCTTAATTACAAAAAATCTAATGTATAACTTTCTCAAGCACAATACATTTTTATAACACGTGTTTCTTAAAAAAAATATCATTTGGGAGGGCGTCAAAAATGAAGATGTGGTGTAATTGATAATCAGTAGCGGCGCTAGGCGTCGGCGGTGTCGGCGGCCGCCGACGGCCTCGCGCCTGGGGGGGCCTCGCAAGAGGCCCCGGAAAAATTTAATTATTTAAAATTTAGTTAATTTTCATACGGATGTGCGAATAAAAAAGGTGATTAGTGGTTTACAGGCACTCATTTTACTCTCTTATCTTTCATGGACATTATCTAATATCGTCTGTCAACACTATAGATTATTAAATCTAAACAACTTCGCGCGTGCTAATTCTCCGGTTGTTAATATTTGTGTATTTCTTATGTGAGCACTATGTAAATCATCGTTCTCTTTGGAAATACATACGAGTGGGAATCTTAACGTATCGAAACAGTAATTAAATATTCGAGGAATAAAAGTAATCAATGATCAATAAAAATTGATCAATGAGAAATAACAATGAGATAATAACAAAAACTGTTAATTTCAAACTAATCATTGTTTCACACCGTCAACACAAGCAATATATTTTTTTAAACATTCTATTGGGATGATTAGTTCTTTCAAATAAAATTGATAACCATTTAAACTTTTTTTGTATCTCCGGAACCGCTAAACCTGCCTTTGAGAATTTATCAACACGAATCGAATGTTTTTTAAATCCTTTAAATCGGTTGATCTGCTCTGATGTCGGCGACAAAAAAATAAAGCGTCTTAAAAACGACATTTTGACATTTTTGAACCAATTTTAAAAATTCAAAAACTGATCGAAAGTTTTCAGTTGGCGATCGTGCTGAATTGTTTTTCCTCAAGATCGACCGCACAGTTTGTTCGTAATTTATTGTAAAATCTTTTTTCAAAAAAAACTTGTTAGTATCATCTAACATAAATTTTATGGAACTACGATAAATGATTAATTATAAAAAATCATTAAATTTTAGAATAATGGGACGAGCTTTTAGACCATGTGTACCTACTATGTGATGTGCGGATTTGTGCACTCAAATTAGTATGAACATAGATTTTTTAAATCTAATTAATCACTTGCAGATTGCAAAATTTTGTCTAATTAGTTATTAAGTCGGTGATTTCCAACCATTTTTTATTCATAATGATCGAAAAACATAAAATTTGCTAATCAAATGGTTGGGAAAAAGGAAACTTTTTCGCGATAATTATTTAATTTTAGTGCTTTTTTAATAGCTGGACAACAAACCATTTTTGCCGAAGAGTTTGTTTATTTCAACTTGTGCAATTTTTGTCTATTTCAATTGGTGTATTTATCTGATTAAAAATAAATCTCATATACAGTTATAGTAATCGCAAAAAAATCTAAAACAAAAATTTTTATATATCTTCAAAGATTTCTGAACATCTTGGCAAATTTTCGTCGACGATTTCACGAACATGGATCAACCAATTTGAAAAATTCAGAAAACATTTGACATGTATTGAAGGTAAGAAGACGTGCTGATTAGTTTTTGGCAAAGGCAGGATAAGCCGTTTTGAAGATACGGGGCAAAAGTGCCAAACTGATTACATTTTTAGGAAGGCAGGTCTAGCGGTTTTGGAATCCAGTAAAAAGCACAACAAGGGCCATTTGGCATATGCACATCAAATTATCAGATATTTTATAAAGATTTTAATTAATAGTGAGTTAAGTTAGACTGCAACGCGGTGTTTACGCGCTTCGATATTTCGTCTCTAAGCAGCTAACACAACGTGATTGCTTTGGAAAAAAGTTCGAAATTTTCAACAAAATATTTCAAATTAAAAAAAGTCAATTTCTTTCACTTTTCAATTTTTTTAAAGCTTTCAAAATTTAAATTGCGGCACGAAAAGTTTCAGCAATTTGCCTTAAGGCACGATGCCATGTACCACTAGTCAATTTGCAACTGGCAAAAAAGGGGGGCCTCGCAAACGAATTTCGCCGACGCCCACGAATGGTCTAGCGCCGCCACTGTTGATAATAATATGCTCATATAAGGAACAAATTAATCAACTAAGGTATTTTTTAGATATAAAATGTACTAAATATGTATGTACTAGAGATGGGTAACTCACTCGGATACAACTCCTCCCTCGGAGTGAATCCGAGTGGAGTTGTCTCACAGGATTTGTCATATCCGACTTCCTTAAACAGGTACTAAATTTGTTAACATGTGCAGATATTTGCTTGAGATTTTTTACTAATACAAAGATTTGGGTCGAAAAAAGTTGTTTTTTTCTCGTCTCACAGCCAGTTTTAGCACTTTAGAAGTATATAATGTACCAAAATAATGTTATTTTGTATTCTATATTATGTGTACGATAATGATTGTCCAAAAATGAGCTCTTTCAATGGTATACAACCAGCTAAAAAATATTTAGTATTATATTATACTTTTATACAATTATGATTTTATAATTGTGTAAAAGTAATAGTATGCTAATAAAACTACCTGATGTATAATTAATTATCAAAAGAAAATAAAAGAATGTGAGGTGTTATTTTTGTGAAAATATTATACACAAAGATTTGTTCATATTTCATATATAAGGTTCACTGCATTATTTTCATATAAAATGAACATATTCAAAGAATTCTATATTTTCTCTTCAAAACTAATTACAAAATTGATTTTGATTCCAAGTTTTTGTCAATTTTGAGATTTGTATGCATATTGAAATGCATGAAATAGTAATTATCATAATAAAATGAACAAAAATGTTTGAACTATTTCCAAAGTCCTGAGATATGTTAACAACACACTAGAGAACACATTTGTGTCAAGTATTATGTTAATCCAGGAGTGTTAGAGTTGTTAAGTGGATATAACTCCTCTCTGAAGCGGAGTCAAATCCTAAACGATCCGGCTTCGGATATGATAAGCCCATCTCTAGAATGTACCTTTTCGCTACGAATGTCGCCTATAGGCGACATCCACATGACTTGTTTGCACTCGCCTATAGGCGACCTCCGAACTTTGCTTCGACTTTGAGTTAACTTTGGTTATTTTATTTTTAGGTTTTTTTAAGTAAAACTTGTAATTTTTAAATACAATAGCTGTAGTCTTTAATAGCTTTACTGA